TAAGTATTACGTCCCTTCCGTCGTCCGTTTAATTTTCAGGCTACTTGGATTATGACGTACGGGCACTGAAACTCAGAATCTGAGCAATTACAAGACAGAACTCAGCCTATACTGTAGGTAGGCAGGTAATATATCTATCTCTAGCTAGATTTTTTTTTTAATTTGTCAATTGAGATAGAGCGCTACTGTACTTAGAAGCGGATTCTCCGCGGAGCCTCGGACCTCCATTCCTGCTCCATTACAGTACAAGCAGCCTCTATGCCCCCGTTTCTAACCGCTGAGGTCAACTCGCAACTGATTGCACCAAGGCAAATCAGCTAAGACAAACCTCGAAGGTACATACATATAACTCTAAGTAGCCCTCACCTCCGTGGGAAATAGATAATCCAGGACCCGCGAGACCGCTACGTTTAGGAAACCTAGCGCTGAAAATTATAGATAGTATATAGAAAAACTAAAGACCAGATGAGCGGCCGCACGCGCATCCTAGCCTTGACACGCTGGGGAAGATATTAATATCTAGTGGGTTCGGGATTGTACCAAACCCGGACCACCCTCAAGGGTATACACAATTAAGGTTAGCTGCCTACCAGCTGTGACTCTACGCCGCTTTCCAGTTCCCTATTCCGAGCTCATGGGGTGGTCTCCCATTGATGTCGGCCGTACCAAACTGTCAAATGACGGAGATAGGGGAAAGTTCTTTACTTGCCTTTTATAACCGAGCTCCGAGGAAATGCTAGTAGGTAGGTACCTCCCTCCGTGAGGTCCTCCAAGCCCGTCCAATGTCTTGGCACCTGCATACCTCCGACATGTGGGTAGGGTCTACAGGTCCTTGTATGTTATGCATATATTGAAAACCATTCATGTCTGGCACAGCACCTGCAGCACCCGTGGACCCAGGTTACCTACCTACCAGGTAGTTAGGTGCACTTCTACACAATGATCATAAAACTTGCAGGTTGTAGCTCGACGATTGACTTATATTGAATTTTGATACTCAATGAATTATGTCTGATACTGATTTAAATTCTTAGTTTTATATAGGTAGTAACGAGCTTTTCGCTTGTGGGCTCATGACGTAGGTAGACTGTAAACATCACATGTTAGGTAGGTAGGTAGATGTATGTACCTACTGGGTAAGCGTATGCCTATAGTGAAGCGTTACAAACCTGTGGGATCAACCGTGGTTCCCTACCTGCCTCCTACCACTTTGTCCAGGTTGTTGGTTCTGACGCCCAACAAGACGACGCATTTGGGCCATGAGGTTCTGACTCATAATAATCCATCACCTGGCATGAAGTTATGTTCAACACATAATTAGAAACACGGTATTCAACTCCAATATGGCCGACTCACAAGATCGTTCAGCGGGAGGGACACGAGCGGATGAGACAGACGCTGGAACGAACTCTAAATCTGCGCAGATGGGCCAACCAACGCATCTTCGGAGCTGTGTTTTGTGTAGGCAACGTAAAGTTAAATGCGACCGGCGCCAACCGTGTTCCAACTGCTTGGTATGTATAAAAACCTTCCGTGTCTGATCCCTTAGTCTCCCGTCTGGCATCATCTCCCAAGATCTGTGATATGAGACTTACAGGTCTCGACTAACGCGTTTCTATGCACGAAGCGGGCCGGGGCAAACTGCGTCCACCCGCCTGGGGCCGGCCGAGCAGCCAAACGGCCACGCCAAGCTGTGGATGTCAAAGTGCTGGACCGACTTTCCCAGCTGGAGACAACTATTAGGCGTCTACAGCAACAAACTAAAGAACGCGACGCCGAGCCTCAGATAACCTCCGAATCCCCGCAAGCTCTGGAGAGTAGGGTTCTGGCCGACGAGGCGAGTCAGGAGACCGAAGCGGCCACAGAACTAGGCCGCCTTGTAGTTGAAGAGTCTCAAAGCCGCTATGTTAGTAACGTAATGTGGGCAGACTTGACAGAGTCGGTTAGTCGTTCGGGTCACACTCCTATCAATTACGACTTTGCGCTAATTTTCATGAAGATCGAGCAATTGCGTGGGATGTTCCTTGATACTAGTCCTAAGGACGAGGACTCTCCCCAACTTGACGACAGCCCTCCTTTTAACGACGCAGAATCCCCTAACCCAGGATCCTTGGGTCCAAATGCAGCTTTATTTGGGTATCGTTCCCTTGCTCACTCTCTGCGCGATTTCCATCCATCTGTCGACCTATCTATGAGGCTGTTTCAGCTATTCAATGACAATGTGTTACCGGTGGTACGCATATTCCATTCGCCTACGTTAATACGCCTATTCTGGAGTGCGGTTGTGTCAACAGACTCCCTGGACAAAGAAACTGAGGCACTTCTATTTGCCATCTACTATTCGGCAGTTATCAGCATAGACCCGAACCAGTGTGCCAACATCGTAGGAACACCGCGGTCCGTTATAGTCGAGCGATACAAGTTTGCAGCAGAGCAGGCACTAGCACGCGCCAACTTACTAAATACACACAGCACGTTACTCTTGCAAGCGGCCATTCTATACGTCTCGGTATTGCGGTCTGATGATGGGACTCGAACTGTATGGTCGCTCATTGCACTTATTTCCCATGTAGCACGCTCAATGGGCCTTCATCGAGATGGAACTGCCTTCAATCTTCCACCTTTTGAAACCGAGATACGGCGCCGCATATGGCATCATATCCGTTTGATTGACCATCGATCTACCGAATACCACGGCTATGAACCTACGTTGGCTGATGTGACAGCTTTCGACACCCGCTGGCCGCTCAATGTGAACGATTCTGACCTTTCTAGTGATATGGTTGATCCACCACCCGAGAGGGACGGAGCAACCGAGATGACACTTACCCACGCCCGATGTAATGCTTGGAGAATCAGTCAGAAGATGAAACGGTGAGTAGCCTCAATGTTTGCCGTTGTTGTTATTCCACCCCCAAGTTGTTCATCATACAACGCCTATATCTTCTACGCCATAGCAAACTTTCTCCACATTTATCCATCTGCTGTAGCTGGAAACATTAAACTAACCCCATACCTAGAGCAAGTCGTTTATCATTTCAAGCTCGTCTTCAGCTTATGGACGAACACGACAAATGGGTTGAAAAGTACGTAGAACGGTGCGATCCAAATGAACCGATACATTTTCTCGCAAAAGAGATTAGTTATATATCCGCAGGACGAATCCGGGCAGTTCATTACTACAATGAACTGCTGATCCGGAAAAGAAAGAGAGAGAACAGCACCGTTCACACTAGCATTACCGACAGGAGCACTGCGCAGCCTAGCCATGGTAACTCTGAAGAACCCGATGAAGCAACCTTACGAGAACTAGTCTTTTCTAGCGCAATCGTTATACTTGAAAGGACATACTACATAATGCAAGACTCACGCCTGGACCGCTGGACATGGCACTCGCACACTTATGTTCAGTGGCAAACATTAGCTCTCGTTTTGTCCGAGATTTGTATACGCCCACCATCTCCGCAATGCGATAGGGGTTGGGAATATGCAACGGCGATCTATGATAGGTGGCTAAGTGTTAAGTTCCGTGACAGAACGGAACAGGGAGATGATTTTGTTCAACCCATGAGTCGGCTCATAGCAACAACAAAACGCGTGCGGGATTTACAACAGGTAGAGAAACAGCAGCAGCAGCAACCAGATCATCAGCCAAAAGCACAGATACCGAGGCCAGGGGGCGACGAGGTAATCATGGGGGGACAACAAATACTACATAATACGCCCGAGAGTCAGACAGCACTTAACTTTGAGGGGATGAACACAGAACTCATGCAACCCAACCTAGCTGCACCGGTAAACCCCCCGGATATCTCACTCAATAACCCACCCATATATGAAGCCAGCGGCTTTGAGCCCTTCTTGGAGATGTTGCCTGACGAGTTACAAAATGAATGGTTTGAGTCATTGGTGCGGGGTAACCTGAACTCTCGCAGCCAATCACCTGGGTTTATGGGGCGAGGGCCTTTCTTGGACTTCTTATAATCGATGTCTAACTAACCATATAGTTGAAAACATTCATCTGTAGCTCAGTTAGAGCCAGATTGGTGACACTAAAAAGGGCCAGGCTACATGTATATACGTTAGATTAGCACAGGAGTGCTCGTGACGATTACGATGAAAGTCGAAACGACATGAAAAGATTAGGTTGGACTGTAATATTACTGCGGTATGGCCGGGGACTGGTTTAAACACGGGATGTAACGCGACCGAATGTTGGAGGCATCGCGAGATATTCTCAGCTCATCTCAAGAATTCTAATCTTTCTAGGCTAATACCAACACAAATCTCCATGTCCAGATAGCAACCAGGCAAATCTCTCTCTGCACACATGTGATTTTATATCGGCTTCTAGGCATTATGGTAAAGTCATAATATATGTATTTAGGAACAACACTTGATGCTACGTGCTTTGCTCCCTGGGCCAATCAAAATGGAGAGCCTCTGCTTTGAATTATGTTCGCTGATCTTCCGAATACTATCGGTATTGGAAGCTTAGACGGCTTTAATCAAGTTGTGAAATTCTCTCGGAGGCTCCAGCGATAATTATGACTAATACTTACCAAAGCCGATAGATTTGATATATCTATCTCGCTCCAAGGAAATCTGTCTGCCCAGGTAACTACTGCAGCTCATGTATGAACTCCTTGTCGCCTAAATAAATTCTTGTCCTATACAATGCCGTCTCTTAATTAGCAGTGTAGCGGAATCTTGAATGCGCGTGCATCTTACCTAAGTACCTCTTAGTAAGTATACTACTTAGGCTACCTACTGGTAGACTATTATTACAGGCAGAGCTTGCCTACCCATACCTGTGCCAACGTGACTGCCTCTTTCCCAGGGGCGCATTCATAGCTGCAACTCGGGCACCCGCATGAGGTACCTGTGTACTTGGGAGGCAAACAGGACCGCCTTCCTCCAGTACAGCTCACGTACCTCCTGCCTGCCTACTCAACAACCTCACCTGCACATATAATATAGCTTGTCCCTTTGACGTCTAAACCGAATTGGTGTAGGGGTCAACATGCTGGATTCTCATTTCTAACTGATATTCCAGAGCCAGGAGTTCGAGTCTCCTATTCGGTGATCTTTTTTCCTCCTCCTCCTTTTCCCTCGCCTCTTTTTTTTCTTTATGTCTTTGCCGGATCTAAATTTTAAAGCACAATACCTATTACTATCATACAAGGTCTATGATCTGTTCATTTTAGCTTTTTGTAGATATTAACTGTGGGCGGCGTTTTAATATGGGTGGACGATTGTGTTTGGTAAGCAGCGTTTGCAAGGACTGTGGACCACTTATCTGCAAACATCAAGGTGCTATAATTAGCAGCAATGTGATCATTATTTGACTTAGACTATAATTTCTTTCTTCTCTTTTTTTCTTTCTCTTTCTTGACCATGATTTTTATTCTCTATTTCAACATCAAGCAGACGCAGGCCCTGCTAAGCGTATGAATGAATATATAAATTATCATAGGAAACAGTCGTACTCTATCAATAAGTCTGCGGCTAAGTCCATTATTCAATAGAATTAATAATACGTTCAAGAGATGGATAAATGACTAAGCTGATGAGTTGTTGTATGTAAAAAAAGAATACAAGTCTGCACACCGCCTAACTTCGCCTCCATCCCCAATATTAAATTGCTTCTACGATTGCTGCAACCTCGGGGGAATCCCTGAGAATCTTACACGCCTTATAATTTTCAAGTACGCACAGATAATCTAGCCGCGAGTTCCGACCCGTGGCCAGGTGCTTCCATGCATCCCTGAAACAAGATATGTATCACACAAAGATTCTACTACCCTTTCTATTAATGTGTGTATGTCTACCAACAATTGATCCCAGAAGACAAATAGTTAGTTGGTTCTATCAACTGTCCGTTCATACACAATACCAAGTCCCCGTCGTGGCCCAGAAGCATCTATATGCTGAAGCATGGGTTGTGTCTTCCAGTAGCCAAGTATGAGTAACGCATCTCCCCACGCAGCCGTCCCGGCATATAGAGAGATCCATTCAATGCTATGCTGAGTGTTGACATTGGCTTGGCTAATATTCAAAAGTACGTTAAGGGCCTCGACGCTACTACTCAAAACGCTGGCTACCACAAGGGAACTCCTGTCTTTCATTGTTTGTCTCTGCTAATGTGTTGGCATGTTTAAAGCATGATAGAATGAAATCAAACTCTTCGACCACCTGCACGAGACTACAGGGTACAGGCGTATAATTACTACAAAAGTTGTGGACTTGTGGAACTCGCAGGAGGTCATCGTTGGCTAGTTGCAGCAGAGTAGATACAGAGAGCTGTCGATTGTTTCCTATTTTATTAAGTGATACAATAAATAATTAAAGCGCAGATTGTGCAGGCCTGATTTAACGAAATCTGAAGCTTCTTTCCAGAATGTAGGCCATTGTTTGGGTCCAGGCCCCCTCCTAACCAGAAATCCTACACGAGGTTTTTGTATTGACTGTATGTCTCTTACCAAAATCAAGTGTCACCCTAGAGTCAATGCTGGTGACAATGAGGATCTGACCCCATGAAGTGCCAACTGACGTTTTTGAGCTACCACAAACTACAACCGTACGCACACCTGAAACTGCACAACAACAAATGTTTACGACCTACCTCTAGTACAAGGTTATGAGCACAAGCAAATATAACCTTGACCGCATATCCATTTGTTTCCACTTCCTGCCCCTATAGTTGTAGATCATGGCTAATTAACTACAATAAATATGATTGGATCGCTGTTAGAACTATGTACAACACTAATGGCCAGACCCCATCGCATTTGAAAGAATAGAAAATCTATTGTAGCATTAAATTATTGTAACTTCTTATTCTTGGTGCTTGTAGAAAGGAGTTTGATCAGTAGTAGTGCGTACGTACCTACATACACATAGGTTTATACTCGACCAGCAGCTCTGCATGTAGGTATCCATTGTAGTCCAACACAAACTAGATAGTTCCTCGTTTAATATTTAATGCCTTATCTAGGCAGCGGGAATTAAATGAATCGCTCTTTATGATTCTAGAGTACATAGCTCATAATTACTCTTCAGTATAAAAATTATTTGCTAGAGTCATTACCTAGGCGAAGACCTACATATGTAGTATAGGACGACTTGGTATCCACACGTAAAACCTTCCATACCCTACTTGTTGGAGGTAGGTATCTATAGCACTTGCAGGTAACCTATTATATACATGTAGGGTACGTACTTTGGACATGCGATAGCGCTAACGGATCTATATATGGACTGCATGTCTTAGGTAAGCATTTTAGCCCCACACTTCCCAGTGCACAGTAGGAGCACAGTACAGTACCAGGAATGGAGCACGATTGCGTCAACACGGTGCTACCTATGCTACCTATCGCTGTACCTACCCCTCCAAGCATCTCGCACCCACTTACCTGCTCACCCACTCGCATATCTAGGCAAAGGTAATGCTAGGCGTACTGAGTTCTGGGCACAAACTTATTTCACTTCGCCTCTTCTACACCACTGGGGTCTCTCCTACCTCGGTCCTCCTCTCAACATCTTCGCGAACCAGCACCCCATTTGCAGCTGATTCGAACTTTGACCAGCTCTCTTCCAGCTATCTCCATAGCTTGATTGGGCATGCGGCACGCGGCGAGTGCAGCATAAGGCACCTAGAATACCATACACTACCTTAAACGCCATTCTCTGTCTCCCATCGTTATATTTTTCAGCTATTCTCTCGGAAACTACGACGACCAGTAGCAGACGAACTCGAGGTGTTGCGAAGCATTCACCGCCCATTCTCCGTGCCCGCAGCTGCCGACTCACGGGAAGCGCCCTACTTCCTCGCCTGTCTCTATTCCCACCTCGTACGAGCGACGAGTGGACAAACGATCCGCTCCGATTACTTGCCTTTGCGCACTCCACCGTTCCGTCGACTGTGGTCATCAACGCCACCACCCCGAGATGGACGACGATGTTGACTCCTTCATGGCAGTGACCGGGGTCACATCCCGTGATGTTGCCCGCGGATATCTTCATATATCAGGTGGGGATACAAACCGGGCCATCGAGGCCTATTATGAGAATCCCGAGTTAGAGTCCAGCTTCAACGTTGCGTCTTCTGCACCCAGGACCTCTTCGCAACAACAAGACACCTCGTCTCGTGCTCATAGCAGCGGTTTTACAGGGCGGGAGGATTCCCATGGGGTTGTGCACATCGATTCCGATGACGATGACGATATCCGAATGCTCGACGACGACGGCGACGGCGGAGACGTCGCCATAGCTAGAAATGCCCAAGAGGAGGAGGACGCCGCCTTGGCAAGACGACTACAAGAAGAATTTTACGGCTCGGGTCCAGGCTCAGGCACTGTAGACGATGGTGTACGAGCTCCTATAGCGCAGACAACCGAAACACTAGCCGGCCCCGACCTAGCATGGACTATGGAAGAAGATGGAGAAGACAACATGTTGGAGCAACTGCGAGCGCGTCAAGCTCGGCAAAGACGGCAAAGTAAATTCATGCCAGTAATTCTTGCCTCTATACACTAATTCATCTCACAGATCGGAATCCCAATCCTTTTGACCAGGCACCCTCAATATGGGATGACGGGGCTGCGCCTCCATCGGTACCAAACACGCAACCTGACCCGAATCCTGCATCCCGAGCTGCGTTGCTACGTGATCTCTTCCGCCCGCCCCATGACTTGATTAGTGACGCCACATGGGATGAAGCCAGAGACGAAGGCAAAGAAGAGAAAAAATGGATTATGGTGAATCTTCAGGACCTGGACGTATTCCAGTGCCAGGTCCTGAATAGAGATGTGTGGAAGGATGAGAATGTCAGGACTTTAGTCAAAGAACACTTCATTTTCTTGCAGTATGACAAAAAGGAGCGAAGAGCTCAATCATACGTTCAGTTGTACTTCCCAAACGGCGCCCACGAGAACAGTGACAACTATCCTCACGTTTCCATCATCGACCCCAGGACGGGGGAGCAGGTCAAGGTGTGGTCGGGAGAGTCTTTTCCCAAGACAGGCGAATTCTACGGGGACCTCATTGAGTTCCTCGATCGCTACAGCTTGGCAGCTAACAGCAAGAATCCAGTTGTCCAATCGAAGCCAAAGCGGCAGCCGATTGACATCGGTCGCTTAACAGAAGACGAAATGCTTCAGTTAGCCATGCAGAACAGCTTAGAGAATAATGGCGGTTCGTCAGGATCGAGTGTCCAAGATCCAGACATGCTCACAAAAGCCAGCGATGACACGGGCAAAGGAAAGGGCAAGGCGACGAATGAAGTGGTAGATCTCACAAACAACTCGGCACAACCGCCTCCTGGTCCCTCTCATGGCACGGCCGAGTCCGTCTTTTCCCGAATTCCGTCAACCAACCCGCATGTAGAACCGGGGAACAACCCAGCGACGACAACTAGGATACAGTTTAGACATTCTGGTGGGCGTATTATACGCCGCTTCGCAGTGGCAGATGCGGTTCGTCGTATTTACGAGTGGTTAAAGGCAGAGCCATTCGAAGGCAAGGAAGGTGTTTTGTTTGAGCTGAAGGCGATGCCTGCAGGTGCGGATCTGATCAGCGAACTTGACAAAACTATCGAGGAGGCGGGCTTAAAACAGGGCACTGTCATGATCGAATTCATTGAGGACTAGACTTTGATTTAGATTGCATGGTGTGTACAGGTCTGTCTATAATAACGCGTCTTCTGGTTGTGGTGGCTAGGGCTCTGCGTCGTTTCGAAAAGGCCTCAGGGAGTACATTGTTGCCCATAGATAGATATTGGGGCGGCAGGCGGCGAAGTTTGGAGTTTCGGTAGTCATAACAAAGCAAGGAAGAGGCAAAGATAGACTTACTATCATGTGTAACTGCTCCTCTCTCTGTCCCGTGCCCCTCTATAGTAGTGCATTTACCAGTACGTAGCGCTTTGTCGCTTCTTGTTATAGCTGAGCGCGAGGATCGATTATTGTAACAACGCGGGTGTTCCTTACTTTTTCGCTGATGGGAATGCCTATTTTGAAAAGAACTGCTGATAGGGATTACTAACTAAAGTTAGTTGCAATGGGATAACTCGAGGTTTAAAATGCCCC